AGTAACACAATGTTACGACGCTCAAAGAGCGAGAATGCGCCCTTTTTCAAAGTACGACAGAGCTTGAATTACGGGAATGTTTTACGGATGAATCATAGTTTTTACAATAAACACAAGAAGCCAAGAAAAAAGTGAAGGCGAAATTGAAACACGACCATATCTTCACTTTCTTTAACAAAATTCTCAAATTTGCTCGTTCTTCAACTTTTAATGAACCAAACCAAATGCGGTTTTGGTTTCGTATATTAGTGATGTAAAATTAATCTAGTAGTATTTAACGGAAGTTCGTTTACAGTGAGTTGAGACACCGTTTCTTCCAGTGTGCGGACATAATCATCGGTACTGTAAAACAAGGAATTGGTTGCTAGTGTTGGCACAGCCAAAGCACGCACTCAGAAACCTATACGAAATTCAAAAAAAGATTAAATTTCTTTTATTTTCGAGTTTATGGCTAACAACTGTCTACAGGTATCACCACAGCCGCACTCACAACTGCAACACTGCCTACAACATCAAGGTCCTCTACGTTTACACCTACGTCGCCCGAATCAACAACGACTGCATACACAACGTCCTCTACCACGAGCACCACTGCAACATCTCCTACTACCACGCCTAAACTATCTACTACAACCACATCCATAGCATCTAATTTGTCCATGTCCACAACCTTTAGGTCTACTATAACTAATGCAACACCTACTACAACTATGCTTAAAGCATCTGTTAGGACCACATTCACAACTTCTAGGCCTGTTGCGACCAACTTTGCAACATCTCCTTCTACCACACCTAGGGCATCTACTACGACCACAATGTCAAGGCTTACTTCGTTCACACCTACGACGCCTAAATCAGCTGCGACTACACTTTCAACGTCTAGGTCTACTACGATTACTCCTGCATCTACTACCATGCCTAGATTATCCTCAACAACCACGCCTCCACTATCTACAACAACCACGTTCAGAGCGTCTACTAGCACGGCCACATCTACAACCACACCTAGATTATCTACTACAACTACGTCCAGACCATCTACTACGACCACGCCATATTCTGCAGTCACGCTTAGATCATCTACCACAACTTCGATCCGAGCATCTGCTACGACTACTCTAATTCCTACAACCACACCTACATCATCTACTACAACCACATCCAGAGCATCTACTACGGCCACGTCCACAACTTATAGGTCTGCTACGACCGCCACTGCAACACCTCCTATCACCACGCCTAGGTTAACAATAACCACGCCTAGATTGAACACTAAAGCCACGCATAGATCAACTACCACAACCACGCCTAGATCATCCACTACCGCCACGACCAGAGCATCCACTGCGCCCGCGCCCACAACATCCAGGTTTACTACAAACACCAATGCAGCATCATCTGCAACCACGCCTAGATCAACTGCTACAACCATTCCTAGACCATCTACTACAACTACGTCCAGATCATCTACTACGACGACGCCCTCAAATCCTGCAACC